TGCGAGCTGACCTGCACAGACACAACTCTCCTCTGCCAGCGGAGGAAGCACTGGGACAGGTCAATGCACCGCAAGGGCGTGGGCCCACCATCAAGTTTCTGCTCCAGCACCAGTCATATTGGGCTACCCACAGCAGTTTAGCTACAAGATCAGTGAAGACAGTTGCTGGTGAGGGGCACGTTTATAGGCAATGACAAGTTGTGAATCACAGGAAAATCAGCAGGAACCAGAAGCTTGAAACTTCTGGTCCATTAGGATCCCCACCCAAAGCACCTCCACATTCCAGGCTATTTTGGGAGTGTTAACAAGGGGCAAAATTTCAAACTTTGCATGGGATTTGTTCTGCTCTTGCCATGAAAAGCAGCGGCCATTTTCCTAGGCTGGGAGTCCCCTGCCATGAGCAGCTCCGAAAAGGGAATAGCCACTGGGCAGGGAAAGGAAGCTGCTTTGCTTTTTTTTTTTGGGTGAGCTGGCGCCACATGGGATGCGTGCCAAAGCAAACCAACCCACGGGCTCCCGGCCGTGGCAGCACGTCCCTGCTTGCAGGGCGGCGGGGAGATGCAGCCCTCCCTTGACTGGCCCAGTTCCGCACTTTGCGCTTCCCCAGCTCCAGCCCAGCTCTGCGCTTTGCCGGGAAGTCGGGGAGCACCCCCGTCCAGGTACGCAAACACCCCCAGCTGCTGCAACCCCCCTGCCGGCTCAAAGGCACTGCCAGCCAGCTTTAGCTGTTATACGTTCAAATCTGTCCTTCTCTAGGATTTTACCTGTATTTTAACTACCCCATCCTATGCCACGAACTGGTTTTTTGTGCAGTTCTCCAGCAAACTGAGTGGTTCTGCTGAACACACTCTTCTGGAGCAGCTATAAATGATTGCACCCTGCTAGTGCGCACTGGGACACCCATGAAAAGCAGACCTTCCCAGGGGGTTGGACCTTCCCAGCCCTCTCCTTCTGCCTCATTTTTGCACACAGACTCAAACCACCTTTGCTTTTGGCTCCTGTGCTAAGATGAAATTAGCCGTTGTTCGTAGGCATGGTAAAAATTGTATTACCTTTCAGGCTGTCTGGCATAAACGAGACACGAACCCTCCCTTTGAGAGCAGGTCTTCAGCTCCAGCGTAATTCAGCCCTGGGAGCTCATAAAAGGCATGTCTGTGCTTCCATTGAGGCACTAATTGCTTCCACATTACATTACCTCCTGCATGCCGAGGTTTAGCATCTGTCAGGAGCACCCATTTTTGTTCCCTGCTGGGGCCGTTGCTAGCTGGCTGCTGCTCTCGTGGCACAGTGCGGCGTTTGCAGAAGCCCTTCAACACCCGCACCACTCGAGCCCCTGCGCTGGCCCAGTTCACCGCTTGCCCGTCTGGGTTGGACACAAAAGGACGCTGGGCACGGGAGTCGTGCACACCCCCGCCCTGCACTTCCCCGTGTTGGCAGCAAGCCTCTTCTCCTGGGTACGGCTCCGGCACCCCCTGAACCCACGCGCAGCCCACCCATCCTTATGAAAAGGCTTTTTGTGTTCTTTTTTTCAAAACCAGGGGACCTGCTACACCAATCACTTGCCTTGGCCGCAATTTTTCACGTCCAGCCCCTGGGCTGAGGACCACCGCTGTAACAGAGGTCTTCCAGTTACTCCTTCTGCACGCAGAGCTGTGTGCCTTTCATGTTGTGTCTTTCCCAGACTTACAGCGGCAGAGGAATGTTACAGGGGATGCCTGGTTTGGATTTGTCAAGCTAGTTTCAACAGACCGCAGCCAGACCCTTTTCCTGCCTCCCACTCCAGCTGAGCGCGCTGTGCCTTTTTCCATGCCGGCTTTCCCGGGGCTGCCCCACATAACCCCCCCGACGAGGAGGTGCAAGCGGAAGAGGCACTTTCCACTGTCTTGTCCCACACCCCCTGTTAAATCAAGTGTGTTACCGGCACGAGACAGGTCAAGACACAAAACATTGCGTATCTGTGTGACAGTGTAAGTAAAACCCGATGCCTGTGGTTAGCTCTGGCTGGAAATGTCACTGTAGGCAGCAAGATGGGGCTGGTGCCGGGTTTCTGCAGGCTGGCCCTGTGGAGCTGTCTAAACATAGCTGCAGTGCAGGCCGGTGAAGAGGCGACTTTAAGCATCATCTAAAGTAAAGCAGCTTCTCCAGCCCAGGCTGCACACCCACAAAGGAGCACACAGAGGCAGTGGTGGGAGGGGGAGTCCAAATAATGCTCTGCCAGGCGACTCCCAGGCCCATCATCAGGGCCATCAGCCCATCAAAGGCCCATCTGCACAAGCCTAGAGCTGCACAGCGACAGAATGGCAGACAGGAACCCAGCTGAAGGACTCCTGAGGAATGAACACCATGTCTGGGCCCCTTCAGGGCTCTGTTTGCAGAGTCATCAGCCCCTCTGTCCAGGAGTGAAACCCATCACCATAAGTCTTTGTCTTGGGGGGATCTCATCAATGTTTATAATCACCGGAAAGGAGGGTGCAAAGAGGACGGAGCCAGGCTCTTTGGAGCCAGGCTCTTTTCACTGGTGCGCAGTGC